TGACAGTCAAGCCAATGTAAATTTTCATCTGTTAAAGGCTGCCTTTGGCTTTTTAGCCAACAGAGGCATGCCTTTAATAAGTGAACCACCTCCAACACATCATCCATACCCAGGTAATATGAATAATGGTGCTCCTATCCTATGGTATATTGTTTTAGTTGTTCAATAAAGTCCGCACTAATTTCATAAATATTTCCTCAGCAATACCTTGTTATCATTTGAGTTACCCAGTACCAAGGCCTCCTGTGGCTGTTCCTACAGCAGTTCCTACATCTGTACCTTTATCCAAAGAAGAATTCTACCAAGCCAAGAAAATTCTACAGCAAACAGAGGTCCCTAAGAAAAAACCCATAGATGTCTTTGATTCTTTTGCTGATTTCACAAAGAGACGAACTCCTGAAAGACGAAGAAGGTTAGTTTAAAATGTTGTTTTTTTTAAAATAATAGTTAGTAAATCACAATTGTGTTTATGTATTTCAAAAAATAATCTTTTCTTGCAATTATAATGTACTAATTTATCCAGCTTGTAGTACATTTAGTAAAAGTCATTTAAGGCTGTGTTGTTTCCAAATAGTAACATAATGCTTAAAATAGTTATCTAAAGTAAAATAATCAGAGATACTGTAAAAAAAACATTTTTTTTTTAAATTCCATCACATTTAATTGTAAATATTTAGTTTTTGAAGAAAAAAAAGTGTATCAGAACATAAAACAGTCTATAAATTGTTTAAAACTAATATTTTGCAAGTTGTTTCTATTATTCTGTGTAATTTAAGCTTTTTTTATTTGACAGTTACTCAAGATCACGATCAGGATCCTGGAAAAAGCACAGTAGATCTCGCAGTAGTTCACTTGGGAAAAAAAGATCATTGACACCCAGAAGAAGAAGTTCTCGTTCCAGATCTGGACTTAGAGCTCGTTCTAGATCTCTCAACAGATCACGCTCAAGATCCTTAGGGCCTTCAAGATTATCAAAACTTCGCTCTAGATCATTAACACCAACATCAAGGAAATCAAAATCTAGATCTCGTTCAGGTCCTAGAAGTCCAAAACCTTTATCATTAAGAGCTTCACCATTACCACCTTTAAGGCGTTCATCAAAATCTCCATTGTCACGTAGATCAAGGTCAAGATCTTATAAACGGTTTTCCAGATCTCGCTCCAAATCTTGGTCAAAACGAGAACGTTCTAGGTCATATTCTAGACCTAGGTCACCCAGGACATATTCTAGGTCACCAAGGCGTTCACCTCGCCGTTCACCTATTAGATCACCTCTTCGCAAATCTTCATATTCACCTAGAAGAAAATCCAAATCATTCAGTCCTCATCGAAGGTCACCATTTCGTTCAAGGTCCAGAACTCCTCTTTCAAAAAGGAAAATTTCTAGATCTAGGACAAGGTCACCTTTTACAAAGAGGTCGTCCTTTTCACCAGCACTCTCTCCACCACGTGCTAAAAGTCCTTATAAAAAGCCAATGTCTCCCATTCCTTTCAGACGAAGGTCTCCATCACCTCACCGTGGAGGTGGCGGTAACTATTATCGTGGCAGGGGTAGGGGTAGATATGGTTATGAAAAATATCGGAACTACCACAGTCCCCCACGCCAGCCAGCTCCTGTACCTGTTCCTGTTCTACCAAATAATCTGCCCCCAGTACCTTACAATCCACAGATGGGACTGCCACCACCAGAGGAATACTTCAAGCATAACCCAGTTGGCTATCAAGAATTTGTACGCAATTTTTATGCTCAGTTTGGCCCCCAAGCTCAAGCATGGGCTCAGAGCCAAACATTCCAGCCTCCAACCACAGAGGGGGCTGTGTCCAGTTTTCCTCAAGCTAATCCTTATATAGCTAATCAGAGAATGCCTTGGGAGTCTGTGGTCATGTCACCATCAGAAAGACCTAGATCTATTACACCACCAAGATACAGAAAAGAGCAGATCTACAGGGATAACACGAGACAATGGGATAGGCGAGGGCGAGGTGGTGATAGAATGAGAGAATTTGATCAGCATCGCAAAGATGTCAGTGAGCGTAAATATACAGGCAAGGAAGAAGAGCGTAAATATACAAGTAAAGAAGAAGAGAAACCTAAATATAGAGATAGCCGTAAGGAAAGTAAAGATGGTGGTCGAAGCAGAGATAAATATGCTACAGACAGAAGAAGTAGTCCAAAGTCTAAAGATGAATCGAAAAGCAAAGATAAGAAGCGACATGAGAAGAAAAAAGAAGAAAAGAAATCCAAGAAACGTTCAGATAGTGAGACCAAGAGGGAAAGCATTTTAAAAGTAATCTCTCTAAAGACTAGTCCAGTAAGTGACCAAGAGATGACATCATCACCACCTGTAGATCCCAAACACTCTCAAGACATAGTGAAACTTAAACTTGAATCTGAAGTGGAATCTAAATCTGTGCCCACTGACTCTCCACTCAAAGTTCAACAATCTGTTCCTGATGTTGAGAAAGACAAAATAGTCACTAAAGAAAGAAAATCTGTTGGCAAGAAGAAAACAGATGGCCTTGGTACTAAGAAGAAATCTAAGGAAGGTTTACTTGAAGATGGAGTAGAAAAGAAAGGGAAAAAGACAAAGAAAAAGAAGCTGACATTTGGCTCATCAGATGCTGACAGTAAACAGGGACTGAAGAAAAAGAAAGCCAAACGTCCAGTGGATTACAAATCTGAAAACAATGTCTCTGAAGATGGTGAGGAACGAGTTAGCCCATTAAAGAAAGCAAAGCTGTCTGAAGTGGGAGAGAAAACAGATGAGACAATGCAGTCTGCTTCTGGTGAGCTAGATCATGTTCAAACCACTGAGCCAACATTTGAAGTTAGCACTGAAGTGGAGGCAAGTAATCTTGGGGAGACTCTCTCTGAAGAGAAAAGCACAGATGTCTTGAGCTCTGCTGCAGTTAGTGGTCAGACTGAGTTAACTAGTCAAAATAAAACTGAACTTGTACCAGAACTTCCTGAACTCAGCAAATGGGAAAGGGAGGACTTTGATCTTTTTGAAGCTCTTGAACAACCCAAAGAGAAACCTCAAGAAAAAATGATGCTGCCGAGGTTAGTTTGTTGCTAAATATTATAATAGGAATTACTGGATAAACATCCAAATTTTGAGTATACATAGCGCATAATAGCCATTGCTTTTCCCTTTTTACACATTTAATGAATTTTTTCATCTCTTTTGTTATTTTCACATACAAGAAAAAGAAATTACTTTTTATTTCATTTCCTTATTTAGGATGATGAATTAATTCATTTCACTGACTCTTTAATAATTAACCTAACTGTGACCATCATTTCAGATCTGTTGTTGATAAAGCTGAGAAATTTTTGAGCTACAAGCCCATGAAGAATGCTGTCATTGCTCCCAGTACAACCATGACAAGCAAATCTCCAGAGTCACCCCCACCTCCTGAGAAACGAAACACTGATACAGCTGCTTCCAGAAGAGTTTTCATTGAAAGAAAAGACAGTAGAGACAAGAAAACTGAGCTGCAGATTACTGTCAAAACTGACAAGAACAAAAATGATAACAGTAATGGCAAACGCCATTTAACGTCAAAATATGAAGAAACTCGGCATCACTATCGCCATAGCAGTAGTGATTTTGAAGAAGACCAACGCTCTGTTGTGAAATCACGGTCTTTAGAAAGAGAACTTCAAGAAAAAGCTAAATCCAGAAAAAGCAAAGAGAAAGAAAGAAAAAGAGAAGAAAAAGAATCCAAAAGAGATAGTCGCTCTTATAAAGAAAATACTAGAGATGACTCTTCCAAGAAAGATAAGACTGATATACATAAAGAAAAGCAAAAGGAATCTGAATCTAAAGAAAGACGTCACAGCAAAGATTTGTCGGGTGGAGGTGACATTCACAAATCGTCCAAAGATTTACGTCACAAGCTTGAAGAAAAAGCTAAGTCAAAAACAGCAATTGATCCAAGAAAACTATCTGTGCTGGACGAGTCAGAATTTGTACCAGATTATGAAGATTTAGGTGTGGATGTTTCCAGTGATAAAGAAACAGACAATATCTTGACCTCTAATCATTCAGGAGCCTCTATCCCAGATTCTCCTGTCCTGGAGAGCAAGAGGAGGAAAAAAGAGGAGGAGGAGACTGAGGGAGATACCAGAGTGGAAGAGACCACCACAGACAATGAAGAAACTAGCAAGCATAAAAAGTCCAAGAAGAAACACAAACACAAAGAGAAGAAAGAGAAGCACAAGCACAAAAAGAAGAAACACAAACACAAGAAGAGCAAGGAAGAGAAAGAGGTGAAAGCACAGACTAGCAAACCTGACTCTACATAGTACAGGTGGAGAACTCTTTTTATTGTAACTACATTGCTCAACATCTTAAACATTCAAAAGATGGGTAATGGAGAATCTTCTGTAGCAGTTCTCAGAATGGAACTATCAATGTGTTCTAAGAATAGGCACATGAGTGCATGTGTATGGCAGAGTGGGTTAGGTTGTCTTCTGCAATACACCAAATCTTAACTGAAGGCTAGGCACCCTTTTGAGCATTGATTACTTCACTGCATGCAGGCTTGATGTATGGTCATTCACTTTAAATTCTTACACCCAGAAAGGACCTATGTAGTTGTAATTGAAGAATTCTTAAGTTGTATCAGTATAAGTGCACTATTATAACCATGTTTACTTAAAGCTAGCATTTATAAAGAGTCAGTATATTTGCAAAGTTCTCTCATAAGGGCTTATAGGCAAACACCATGTCACAATGGCATGACCAATACTTAGTTAAACTATGAATCTACACATCCTGAGCTAACATTCAGGAGTAAAATGTTTGATTCATATCTACAGAATTAACATTTTTAATAAACTCAACAAAATAACTAGGTCGATTATCAATTGAAAGAACTCTATTGGTAGCTTGTAAAGAACAAAAATCAAGACAACAGCTATGGTACAAAGAAAGACAATTCTGTGGTTTGACTCATAAAGTAAAACTTTCAAGTATTAAGAAGTAATTTTAGAAAATAATAGCAATGAATTTAAAATATTGATATAAAAAAAAAATTGTATCAGGCCATTTTTTGTGTGTTTTTTTTTTAGTCTACAAAAGAAAACTTGTTCATTTGTATAGTTATTTGTTGTTTCTAAATCTTTTTAGTACCCCATTTGGACCTTGTGATCTATGGGGCAGATGATATAATGGTCATCTGTTTCATCATATGTCAATTCTATTTACATATTTAATCTGGGGCTTTAATTTGAATTACAATAATTTATCATACCCAATTGAAAAGTGTAATGATTTAAAATTTAAAAACCATTTCCTATGAAATCATATGAAAAAAAAAAGTGTTTTTCTCATGAAGTTTCTTATAAATATTGTTTGTCCCCATGATTTCATTTGTCGTCCCCTCCCCCTCCACCCATAAACATGTCCACTCACAAGAATAAAAGTCCTATCATTTGCAACACTTGTGCAATGAAATAAATTTGTTAAAGACAAGTTCCAATCATTGTGTTTTTGGTTTTCAAATGTATGGTTCTGGGTATTCTAGCTTCTAAATCAAGGTGTGATATGTTGAACTATGTACAACTCATACTCACACATGTGAAACACAACTTATTGATCTCACAAGTTGAACTCAACATTTAGCAGGTGTGTATGTCTATCACATAATAATTAATTAATCCCCTCCAGTGAATGATGGGACAGTTTTATCATTTCCTTTCTTCAGCTTTGTGTCACTGAGACTGGTGCATACTAGTCTCAGCTGTTGGTTTATAGATGACATTCTGATCTGTTTTGTCTTGATAGCACATCTCTGAAGCTTGACTGTATAAATACTACACTAATAATAATCATTAGTGAGAGATGGGCAATAATTATGTTTGTGAGCAAATAATGATGAGTTATTGAAAGAATGTGTGATGTATGTACGATAGTCACTACATTCTCAATCTGTACAGTACTAGAGTGTTGGCCATCAAAGTATTTTTATTATCTTTGTTGCTATTGTTATAAAATTTACAAATAAACAATTTTAATGTGCTTTCTTTAGTTGTTTTTTTCATTATGTAGGTTCTCTAGTAAATGTATGTTGTTTTGTTTAATCTAGACTTGCAGTACCTACCCAAAAACAACTGTTCACACTGCATAAGAATAAATAATGACTTTTTATATAGCGCTACTTTCATGCTCAAAGCGCTATTGGCCAATCTCAATTGTGAACCAGTTTGGGGGAGGGGGATATCTGGTAGAAGGTTTTCCGTGCTGCCTTTAATCGCTCAGTAAACAAAACTCTGCTTAAGTCGGGTGTCGAACCTCAAGCCCCCATCATATGTAGCCAAGTTCAAGACTTGATGAATTGTGCTAACCAGCTCATTAGAACTAGAAAGTGTGTCTCTTTGAGAGCAGACTTGATGAATTGTGCCAACCAGCTCATTAGAACTAAAAAATGTGTCTCTATGAGAGCAGACTTGATGAATTGTGCCAACCAGCTCATTAGAACTAAAAAATGTGTCTCTATGAGAGCTGACTTGTACCAACCAGCTCATTAGATTTTTTTAAAATGTGTCTCTTTGGGAGCAGACTTGATGAATTGTGTCAACCAGCTCATTAGAACTAAAAAAGGTGTCTCTTTGAGAGTAGCTTTAACTTTTTGCTAGCCCTTCGACCGCGGCGTGGTGGCTGAATGGTAGAGTGCTTGACTTTCTAACTGAGGGGGGTCCCTGGTTGACATCTCTGAAAATAATGTGAATTTTGGGGCGCTCATGAGTCGAGCAAACTCTAATGGTAAACATACTTAACATTATTTTAAGAAAAGTTTGGTCATTCTGCTGTCCACATGACATCCTCGTTAACCATGGGCCACATCATCTGCCTCATAATAGTCATGAGCAGCATAATACTATGCAGAATAGCATAATCTACATCGTCAAAGTGGAACCAATGCGCAGTTGCATAGACCTAGTTGCCATTTGAAGAGAGCGCCTTGTGTTGTATACCAATATGGGAAATAAACTTAACCTTGGTGGAGGGAACTTGAAGACTTTGATACACAATTTACCCACCATTGGATTACAATTCAGTGTAGCATCTTTAGTGACTTATGGCATTCAATTATTGTTTTCCGGTGGTTATACAAGTTTAGCAAATATGGTTGGACATCTATTCTGAATATTTCTAGAGTTGGAACATTTTTTCCCCAAACTTTACATTCTATAGATGTAAAACAGCAAATGTGGCGTCTACATCCAAAGAACAGGATCGTTATTTTGGTATACCGGTAGACACGTAGTCATGATTGCTTAGTAGAACCCCTTCACAAAAAAAAATGTACAAGTGAATTGATTTTATTTTTTTTCCCGAAAAAAAAATCCAAATTTAGACAACATTAGTGTGAGCCATTGTAGGATTTTGAAAAAAAAAAGAGGGAGGGGGCTTTTTGTGTAGAAAATACAAACCATATTAAATAGTTAGTTATCTACTAATATGGTATAAATACATATGCTACATTTACATTAGTGTTTCCCAAACAGTGTTCCGCGGAAGCCTAGATTCTTGGCAACAAAATAAATTCTATAACATCACTTGAAGTTGAACTGATCTAGGTTCTGGCTCTAATTTTAAACAAAGAACCTCAAAAAGATCAACCATTAAATGATTTCTGGTCGTTTTTCTGAAAAGTAGCACATTATTTTAAAACAAGCTATCGTTAATTTAGTTTCCCTTTGTGAGAAGCATTATATATAAAAATTATAAAAGTGTTCTGCTAAATTCTTCGAATGTGCAATGTGTTCTGTTAAGGAAAAAGTTTGAGAAACATGACATAGATTATTGTCTCTGCCCCCCCCCCCCCTCTTTTTTTTCCAACTAAAAACAATGTTGGAGCAGGTCTACAGGATAAACATAACTAAGAATAAGTAAATATCAGTGAGAAAAGGAGCGGTGGGGTGATACTTTCGAGTATCGGTATTCCACTAATCACTTTTCACTCCCCTCTCACCAAACACCACCTTTTCTCCGACATGCCTGCATAAGCGCTACTATAGTAGTGACGAATTTTGTCTCCATCACCAGGTATTATAATTATTATTATATTATATATATATTTTTTAAATAAGTCGATTCAAACCTAAAGATAAGACATTAAGTCTGTTGGAAATTTAGAATTAAAAGGAACATTGCAGTAGCCTACTTGAACAGATGAGATTTGAATTCTTATCTTAACATCATTTTTTAAATATTAACTCTATACAAATTGGCTAATAACTCACTTATAGACAGGGCCGCCGCTACCTATTGTGCAATGTGTGCATTGCACGCAGGCGACCGAATGTAAGAACGGCCAAAACATTATACCAAGAATCATTTTTGTTTAAATTTTTGGTAATAAAAAAAAAAAAAACTTAAATATTTTATTTAAATTCTACTGATTCCATTATCCTTTAAAAACGGGGGGGGGGGGGGGGGGGAGACCGACTATATTTGTACAATAAGAAATTATTTTGGAAAATTAAGAAGAAAAAAAAAGCGGCGCGCGAGGGATCCCCACGGATTTTTTCATAAGCGCCGACTATTTTCTGCTCTTGAATTTTCGCAGGTTGTTTGTATTATTTGTTTCGAGTCGAATAGCCCGCCCTGTAAGTAGATCAAGAAATTAGAAAGTCAATTTTAAAACATTGTCACGTTCTACATCGAATTGGGAGGGGAGCAACTTCCTGACAAAAAGGTGTTATAGAGTGTGTGTGTTTCTTAGGCGGAGGTAAGAAGAGTTTAAGCGATTGATTGGTGGTTATGCATTTAAGATGATGAAATTTGCATACCGGAAGAGCAAATGTAAAATGTCAGACAATCTTGAGACATGAAAGAATATAGACGTTATTTTGTGGTGAGCTGGATTTCGTTTAAATATGAGTAAATTATTAAATCTGTAAAAATTGTAACAACAGTTATTTTGATTTTTCGTTCACATAAGAAGTTTTTTCAAGTCATTTAAAGCTTATTAAGTAAAAATATAAAACGCCTTCATTGTTTCACTTGAACTAGCTGTTTGTAGCGACAAGTCAACGACCAACTAACAACAATGAGAGAGAGCTGCGAAAATTATTTTTTTTCAGTGTAATTTATTTGTATATTAGTAAAATTACATTTTCAAAAATTAAAATATCTGAATTAAGTAGGAGACGGTGTGTTATCTTCTAATAAGATCTTTCACCGCTTTTTGCAAGGCACCGTGTGCAACAATATTGGTCAAAACGTTTTCAAGAAAACATTTTAGTGTGATTCTTCTGGATTTTTATTTTTGTGTGGTTTCAGAATAGTCGAATTTCTTCCGCCAATTGCACTTTATATTAGTGACTTCTTTGTGACAAAAAACGTCCACGACAGAGACGTCTTACTTAACAGGAAGAATATTTTTAAAAAGATCACGCCCATTACAGACGTACGTGCGCAAGATGTAGGCGTACTATTGGCCAGGGCTGCCTCTTTATTATTAGATTTAACATGGCCCTCTACTTTTTTTTTTAGGATGAATAGTGCGCTCTGAAAGAAAACACATCAATATTAACCTTTTTAAAATTCTCTCTTATTACTAAGAGAAAAAGGCCAGAAGACGCTAAGCGCCGAGTCCCGCCCGGAATCAAAACCCTTGCCAACTTGAGCGAAAATCTGCCGCATCTTCAATTCTATCTCTATGAAGAAACTTTTACAACGCTTACAATTTATTTAGGCAACACTATTTCGGAAAACAAAAATTGACCATGGGCCTATTATATACTGGTAGGTCTGTGAAACTGACTCATTTTAGTGAAATTTCATTCCCTAAATTTGGATTCAATACATAGTGTTAAAAATATAAATGAAAAATAAAACCTAAACAGTATGTTATAATTAAGAAAGTTTCTTTTCTTTTTCCTTTCATTCTTAACAAAAATGCAAAGTTAAAATTGAAAGTAAAACAACTTAGAGGGAATGGGGATACGACAACGATGCGAATATGAAAAGAAAAAGGAATGGTACAAAAATGGATTTTAAATCAAAGAGCGCTTTAGGTACAGTGACCAGCTCAGTCTTAATGAATTTTTTTTCTAAAAAAAAAAAAAAGAGGGGCTGGGCGGCATTTTTAAATTTTGCACGCAGGCGGCCACAACCCTCGCGGCGGCCCTGCTTATAGATCTAAATAAATCTAATTGTTGTGTTTCAATTGCATTAATTTTTTAAAGATCTAAATAGTTATAATATAAGACTACACATAACTCATAACTAGACCAGACTAGCTATAATGATTGAATATTTAAAACATTTGCACCGTTTTCCCCCATATCATTTTCTTTCTGCTTTTAAGCCAATAAAAATGCATTATTATGGCATTAATTTACTTAAGATACCGCGTACGACGTGGATCTAGAAATGTGCTGAAATAAAGATGTAATTTTGCGGATCTTCAAATTGACTCCCTCGCTCTTTAACGCGCCCTCTCGTCAAAACACGACGTGACATCATCAAGACAAAAGGTTCCGAAACAGGTGATTGAAACAATGTCAACAATAACATTGAACCTTTAGATCTACCAACAGGTTATCATGTTTTAGACTTAAAGCATACACCAGAACAAAGGATATTCCTTACAAGACATTTGTTCCGTTTTTATCATTAGATAACCGTAGGTCATTGCCTCAACTGCGTCATTTCCTTAAATTTTGTGTATGATAATGAAGAAGAGAGAGTAGATTCTTAAGATTGTTACTGATTGTAACTTGTAACTCAGTAACTGTTACTACTGTTAGTGTGTTACTCTACGTAGTCATAGTAAGACAATGTAAGATATAGATTATAGATTAGATCTATTCTTTCTATATTAGTATATACTATATTCTTGAACTACGAGTAGATTTCGTCAATAATATTATATAGCTAGGTCTAATAACAATGTCTTAACAATGTACAAAGTAAATTTGGACTTAAAATATTTCAATATTAATTATTATATATAATCATATTCATATAAGGATATAGAATCTAGATCTAGAATTGTAGATATATAAA